CAATACCAACTCAATAGTCTTTAGGATACTCTCAATGCCGCCAATTCTAACTTTACCCAATGAACAGCACAGGCCATCAACCCGACTTGTAGATTATCATGTGGAGATTGATTTATTAGCGAGTGCTTTATGGTGTAAATAACAAGGAAGAAAGTTAATCCCTTAAATTTGTTAGGAAGAGACAAGTGTCCCTTTTTTTTTTCTTAAGTAGTTTGTTAGGATGATTAAAGGTGATGCCACTTGGCAGTTGGCAAGGGAAAAGTTATTGCTTAGCAATGATGGAGAAGATGGTATATAATAAAGTAATTTTAAGAAGGTTATGAGAGAATACCAACCTTCCTTTTCCTCAAATTTTCTTCTTCTCTTCTATCCCGTTTTTAGCCACTTTCACTATTCTAGTGAACAATAATATTGTAGGAGGAATCCAATAAGGCATATAGACCATCCGAACTCCATTTTCAGCCAAAAAGAATGTTGATGAGAAGAATCTAATAACATCAAAAGTGTCGTGATTTGAGTTCAAAATGATCTGAATCAAATACTTGAAATTATAATAGAAGAGTTCATGACGCTGTTTAACGGATGAAACAATCTTTGAATTTTATACGTTTATAATAAAAATTAGTACTTAGGACTAAACTTTAATATCATCAAGGCATTATAACACTAAAAAATATCACTAAGTCATTGACACTAATGGCAATGCATGTCATCATCAATAAGGTCGACGTAGTTATCGACAAGGCTAATGTCAATTGTTTGCAACAATACTAATGCTCAACTTCTACACCAATATTGATGTACACCATCCCAAATAATACTGACGTCCTTCATTATATACAAGGCCTGACTCTAGTCATTGACACTTAAGCTAAAGTCTATCATCAACAATACAATTAATACTTGTTGTCACTAACAAATCTGAAACTAGCCTTGAACACTAATGCCAATGCTAGCCATCAACACTAATGTTGGCTCCCATCATCTCTATCAAGGTCGAAGTTTACCTTTTTTGTCATGCATCTCCACTAATATATGAGAATGATTGAGCTCACACCAATTATTGATTGATGACGACACCACCACCTTAAAGCTCATCCTATCCACCATGAAAATCATCTTCCACAACTAGGCTATAGCAAATTATTGACCATTTGTGGTAACAAGCATTCCTCATAACCTATGATTTACACTAATTAAATCATTCAATAATGTCACTTCGGACCCATAATATTCTCTCTGTTTATCATTATGAATATTCCAATACATAAAAGTTTAATATTTTGTATTCTAAAAATTATATCAACAAGTGATCATTTCAGAACTACTCTGATGAGTACTTGTAGTAGCTTTCTAAGAGAAAACTCAATTAACACAATTGTTCATCCGCCTTATGAAGTGCACCAAACAAGCAAGGGGCCTTTTGTATCTTGTGTAGAACTTAAATATTCGAAAGGCTCGTGCATATAATATTCTGGAGATAAAATAAAGAGAGGGAGAGGGTTATGTAATTAGACATACATTTAATCTCTATACATTTTGCTATCTTCCATCAAACCCCTCTCTTAATTCTAAATGAAGAAGTGGAAGGATCCACCATCTAATGATTCAACAACAACATCAAGCCTTTGTCCCACTACATGGGGTCAGCTACATGAATCCTCTTTCTCCATTGGGTCATGTTAAAAGTCAAATTCTCGTTTAAATCTAACAAAGAAAGATCATTTCTAATATTTTATAACTAAGTCTTTTTAGGTCTACCTCTACCTTTCTTAAAATAAGTCAAATCTAATACCTCTATTTTCCTAATCGGGTCATCGGAAGGCCACCATTTTATGTGACTAAACCATCTAAGGCGACTCTCTCTAATCTTATCTTCCACTGGAGCTACTCCAATCTTTTCACGTATATGCTCATTTCGTATCTTATCTCTAAGGGTAAATCCACTCATCCACTTGAGCATCCTCATCTCTGCAACACTTAGCTTAATATTATGCTTCTCTTTTAATGGCCAACATTCAGCACCATAAAGCAATGCAGGTCTCACCACCATCTTATAGAATTTTCCATTAAATTTTAAGGGGACTTTTCTATCACACAACAAGCCCGATGCATTCCTTCACTTCAACCATCCAACTTGAATTCTGCTTATAATATCTGCATCTATTTCATCAATTACTAACCATCCAACTTGAATTCTGCTTATAATATCTGCATCTATTTCATCAATTACTAAGAATTTTAAATATCAGATATTCATGGAGGCTATTGAGATGGGAAAATAGCATGAAGGATTGAGTTGTAGCTAGTGCAGTATGCCACTAATCTATTCACATAGCCAGCTTTAAATCACTATCATTGCAAATAAAAAACCACTAGTCAACTCAATCTTATCCACATGTACTATAATGCAAAGATTAATTTTGCAAACAGTGAAACGCTGCCCACTCTCCTATCTCCTTGTATTTATCATGAAGTAATATTCGTGCATTATTGAGAAAAGTCGCGGCAATAATATTTTTAAACCTATTATTTACAATGAGGTGTTTATTAGTCACCTCGTCATTATTGATGAAATGCTTCTATTCAGGCACGAGAATCCTTATTATATTTTAAAATTGCTTTCATTGCTTCAAAAATTCAGAAATGTAATGGGTCCTCATGTCAAATTGGATAAGATGATAGGTTTCTTTTTGGTAATTGGTCCAACAGAAAACTTCAAATACTGCCTTGGACCCATTCTGCTAGACCTAAAGCTAAGGTGGCCTCAAATTTTCTCTCGTCATCTAAGGGCTTGATGGCTAAGACAAAAAGAACTTGGAAGCTAATGTTGCTAAGTCACTGCTTAATATTTATTAACAATCCTTGCTTTTGGAAGTCCCTAAAATATTATATTATATATTTAAAATGCTATATTAGTTTTCTTATTGGTAACATTGAGAAAATATCTTCTTTTATGACCTATGGATTGGTTGCTCTGAGCCTACAAAAAACAATTCATTGTTCGTTCTGCCTTACATAGCTTCACTAATTATTATGGGAAAATATGTAATACTCAAATTATTGGTGCTGAAGACAAAATCTGTCTGAAAATTAAATATTGCTCTTCTCATCACGAGGCAAAAATATTATTATTGGTACATCATCAAAAAATTGTCTTGATCAGGATAAATCCGAGGCATATCAAAGTTAGAAACTTTCAAAATTAAATTTTAGGACCATCCAAACTCTGATTTCAACAAACTTTATAATCAAATTGAATATTTCAAAGAAAAAAACTCAACGACAACGAATCAATCCGATCTGAGCCCAAATGGGTCCAAATCAAAAGACCGAAACATATTTGGAAGGTTCAATACATTACTTGGATAACCAAATGATCTCCATATATGGTATGATTATAGTCGAATCGAGCGGCTCGACGAAACAAATCCAATGAGCCTAAGATCGCTTAATTTTGATGTCACTAAGGGCCTAAGGCACATAAATGCTTGAAAAATGCTCTTTGATCGTGTGAATCGGTACGAGTCATCTGATGGAGCACTTTGAACCTGCCTTGGATCTTCTCCATATTTACGGGATGTGTTACTCACAAAAATCTATAAATAGAATAGACCATCACTCTCTACATGAGTGTGACAATTGTCTGGAGGATCTATGAGGCATCAAGGATCTAGAACTTCACCCAAGCACCAACACCAACGAACTTTTATCGACCGTCGCCAAACCACCACTCAATTGCCAGACTTCCGTCAAACCATAGTCGGACCACCGCCCGACAACCAATCACCACCAGACTTCCTCCCAGCCGCCGACTGCTGTCAAACCACCACCCAACCACCAACCACCGCCAGCCATCAAAGGACCATCGCCTGGCCGCCAATCACCGCACGGCCATCATTGGACTTCCACCTGGCCGTCGATCACCGCTAAACTTGGCCCAACCATCATCGAACCACTGCCTAGCCATCGACTGCTGCCAGGCCACCACCCGACAGCCGCCAGATTTCTTCCCGACCATCATTGAACCACCACTCAGCCACCGACCACCACCAAAGTTCCACCCCGATTGCCATTGGAATTCTGCATGACTGTAGCCATTACAAACTCCCGAGTATCTTTACGGAGCCTAACCGATTATCCAAACTATTATAATTTAATCGCCTCTAAGTCAAAGAACTAATCAACTCTATAACTCACTCAAATATAGTGGAATCTTTTTACCTGTGCGAGGCCCCATGGTTTTCCATGTAAAAAATTTCTGCTCTCTCAAACTATATGTTTGTGTGCTAGATATTCATGCATCACCAAGATGAAAAATTCCCTAGACCACCACAAATATATTATCCCGCCACAATTATTTTAGTCTTCAAGACTTTAAAGTTGCTCAATTAAAGAAGCATTCTTTTGAGATATTCTGCATAACTTGTAGAGAGCTTGTCCTGACGGCTTTATAAAACTATTATGAGTGCTGTGTAACAGTGACCAAGGAGAGAAATAATGATCTCTTCTTTGAATTATCTTTCTCCATGTGACTGCTCTAAAACTTGCTACCTTTTGGCAACTTTCCCTTTGATGAGTCCGTTCTATGGGTTATTCAGTATGCTAAAGGTTGACATCATAATAATACGATTCAAAAGCTCTATCGGTTAATTATGGATGCTCTTATTAGTAACATCTGGCATTAACGAAATGCTAGGATTCATAACTCTTATAATTGAAAGTTTTGTTCCTCGCATTAAATGGCTTGTGGGCCTCATGAGGGAACAATTGCAGATGGCATGAGGAAGTTGACTCCTAGTTTTAGAGCTTTAGTTAATTTGTAATTTCTGGTTTACATTGTAATCTCTGTTTTTCACTTTACATTGATCTTCAGCTTCTCCCATATATATATATATATATATATATATATAAAGATATCCTAATATAATTTATATCAAGATGTCCCTTGCCATTGAATTTATATTGAGATTATTAATTATATAATATTAAGAACTGTATTAATCTCAACAAAAATACAAAAATTCTTAAATTCATCCTGATACAAATAATGTCAGAATGTTTTTACATGATTATTCTTTCCAAAGAAATAATGACTTTGAAATTTACATCTTTGATTGCACTGTTTGACATAAAAGCTTCGTTTGAGACAATTTTCTTACTGCTTTCTAAAATAACTTTCTAGTACAAAAATTTGTAGCTCAAAAAAATTTTGTACTTAAAAACTATTTTATAAAGCATTACAAAAATTGTCCCAAACAAAACCTAAATCTCCGCTTAAGAATTTAAAAATAATAATAAAAGAAAAAATTGTACGCAAGAGTAACAAAGATTATTTCTGGAGTGAAAGGATTCAAAAGAAACCAACTAAGTGGAGGTTTAAAAAAAGAAAAAGAAGACGGACAAAAAGAGAGTTACGTGGAAGAAAGCTGTAGAAGCCTCTCGTATTCTGCGCAAGCATCCTGTATAACAAATAGAAATCAAGATCAGATGTGTTAACATAATGATGGCACAGCTGTCCTTTAATACAAAAAATATCAAAATGCCATTTCATGCTTAAAAATATCTACCAGTCAGTTAACAATCACAGTATTAACAGCAGAAAATTCTATTCTATGGTCGTTTTTTTTTTTTTTTTGCTTTAGGTTTATCTACTCCCAGTAGAAAATACCCTCAGGCATAAAGATATATAATGCATGAAAGATATCATCAATAATAATTCAAAGCTATTTGAAAGTCTTCACATTTTAAAATCACACTTATTTTTCTTATGCAATCTAAATCATCCATGGCAAAAAAATTGTGAAGAATCTGATTGATGAAAAAGGCTTAAATTCCTGAAATAATTTACGCCAATAATTTTAATTACGTTAAACGGAATGCACAAATTTGACCTCGCATTTGCAGCTCAACATTAAAATCTAATCGAGAAGAATGATGATTCTAAAAGAAATAAGAAGGATAAAAGAAGACAACATAGACAAAGATATTGAATAGCAATTTAGAGAAATTTAAAGGCTCATATGACTTTTCTTCATTTTAAATGATTCCATGGAAATATATAGACATAATAAAGTTTTACAGAGATATTACAGCACTAAACAAGCACTTCAAAATTTAAGTCATTGAATGTTCATATATGCATTTGACTCTTTTTACTATCTATGCATGTATCCCCCTTAAAACACATTTATGAATCGACTTTTAAACTAACCATACATGACACTTACGAGTTTAAGCAACACAATTTAATTTATAAAGGATTCATGTCAGTCAAGATTTTAAAAGACGAAATCGGGAATCGAGACGTTTTTTTTTTAAGCGAGGCGAGGTGTAAGCCTTGAGGCGGATCAAGTCGTAAGCCTCAAAACGATTAAAATAAATTAATTTAAAATTATAAATAATGACAAAAAATAACAAAATATTATGTCAACTATGAATTTGAAGATTTGTTTCAAGATAATATTATTAGAATACAAGATTTAAAATAAACTGACTTAAAAATAAAACATCCCCTTATGATAAATACCCAAAGCAGGCTCATCATCACTTTGATTGTCTTCAGAAGAATCTTCATAATTAATGTCAAAGTCATCATCAAACTCTTCTTCATCTATAACATTTTTTTTCTTTATCTCATATATCAGTTAATATTTCATTAGCTCTAAAATGAAATAATAGTAACATACAAAATAATTTATTATATTTAAGAATACCTTTGAATTTTTTTGAATCTCAAATCTCACTTTGTTTCTTTTTTTTTATATACTTGGGTAGTTGCTTCATTGTCTTCTTCATTGACATGAGTTTCTCTTTCTGCTTCAACTTCAGAAACATCAGCATTCTTAGGAGTAACCCATTCATCATCAGATTGTAACTCATCAACAAGCAAAGGGTCAATTTAATTCTTAATATTTCCTTAATTATGCAATTTGAGATGTCTATCGTTCAGTTTTTTGTTAAACATAACATAAAAACTAGTTTGTTCATTCGATCTGCCACCAATCGATTTATTCTCTTTGTATGAATTTGATTGAAGATGCTCCAATTACGCTCGCATGCAGAAGTCGAACACGTTAGGCTAAGAACTTTAATTGCAAAAGCTTTCAATTCAGGAACATCATCTCCAAACTGAGCCCACCAACGTTCTACATGAAGATAAACATAGTATTTTATGAATATTGGTTGAAGTAGAAGACTTGAACATAAATATTAACATTAAAATTATAAATACACAAACTATAAATATACCAGGAGATCATGTTTTGTAGCATGCTTGTGCTGCTCTAAATCCAAACATTCCCTTCTTCAAATGAAAATCCTCAAGTTGATCATTCACTTTGAGGTAGTCTTCTTCAAAAATGAGTCTGTCCATACATACATACAAACCAATTTTCACCTCTTTGTCAACATTAAAATCCTTAACATAATGAAATTGGGCGTTTAAATAGTACGCAGCAGCATGTAAGTGTTGGTGTAATTGTCGATCCCACTTTTCATCTATAATATCTCATATTTCTTTGTAGGCACTTTCTTGACCTCCTAATTCTTTTACAATGTCTTCTTACCCCTATTCATTGCTTCATAAATAAATCTCATAGCCGGGACCCTCTCACCATCAACTATTCTAAGCACCTTTACTAATGGTCTTGTTGTCTTCAAAGCATGATTTGTACTGCGCCAAAATGAATTGTCTTTCATAACAATCTTTTTAACTTATTTTCCTTCTTGTTTTTTAGCCCATGAATTTTTCTCCCACTCTTCAGAAGCAAACATTGTTTCCAAATGTTGTCTTAACTCATTGAATCTCTGCAATGTTAAATATGTAGTAGCAAATCATGTAACAACAGGTCTAATAATTTTCTTGTCAGTGAATTTTCTCATCAAGCTGAGTACCCAAGAATGATCGTATATCAACTTACTAACGAATTTGGCCTTCAATATGGCTGATTTATGTTGAGGCAACTGTCTCAACCTCTCAAGCATCAAGTCAATACAATGTGCAGCACAAGGAGTCCAGTAAAGGTGAGGCCTCTTCTCCATTAACATTCGCCCTGCAGCTTTGTATGCACTTGCATTATCAGTAACAACCTATACTACTAAGGCATCTCTCACTTCCTCCACAACTTCATCCAACATTTCAAACAATAATTATTCATCCTTTACAAAGCTTGAAGCATCTACTGATTTGAGAAAAACTATTCCATATGGATTGTTGACCAAGAAATTAATAATATTTCTATGTCGAATATCTGACCAACCATCTGATATTATTGTCACTTCTGTCTCAATCCAAGTCTTCTAAACATCATCCACCATTTTTTAAATTGTCTTAACCTCCTAATTCAGCATCTAAGTCCTCCAGCTCATACATGCTTGGAAGTTGTAATCATCTTCCATAGTTTCCAACAGATCGTAACATATTGATCCATGACGGACTCCTAACAACATTAAATGGAATCCCATTTTCATAGATGATTCTGGTGATATCCAAACAAACTCTTTTCCTGAGTTCTTTTGTAGCTGTAGGAGGCTGAATATCCTGAGTATTTATGTTTTCCTCATTATCAATATTTAGAATAAATCTATCCATGGGCCCCGACTGCCTCGGTCAGAAGAAACTAGATGGCTTCCAGTACTGGAACCTTCATGTTGTGATCCATAATAAGAAGAGTTTCCTATCATCTCTTCCATATTTCTTTGTGTGACTTCATTTATGGTGGCAAACTTCTTTAAATAATCTGTACATTCATTTTTCACCTCATCAGGTACTTTTGCACATGATTTCACATTGACATGAGTGCAGGCTAATGATCCTTCAATCTCTTAACGCCACCAGTTATGCGTTTCTCACATAAATTATATTTCATGTAAATATATCCCATCTTTTCACCTTCGCATGACACTTCAACTTGAGTTTCATATTTCCATGCAGGATCTTTCATTCTTGTGCCACTAGTCATGCTAATAATTTATAGAAATATTAAATAATCAACATAAAAAATTAACAATAGGAACACATGAATACAACAATATACCGGTCTACCGGTGGTCCAAGGGGGCGCTGCCCCCTGGCGGGGTTCGACCTTCCCAGTCAGTACTGAGCATGTAAGAGTAAATTTTATTGTAAGAGTAATTTTGAAATTCTGCTTGTTTTTAAAGTTCTTAAATTGTTTGTATGGAAAGATACCGAGCGGTACCGAGCATGTACCTAACGGTACTGAGCATGTACCGATCGGTACCAAGCATATACTGCTCGGTACCGAGCGATACTGGCTCGGTACCGAGCATGTACATAATGGTACCGAGCGATACTAGCTCGGTACCGAGCATGTACCGCTCAGTACCGAGCATATACTTACTCAGTACCAAGCGGTACTAGGGGTGTAAACGAGTCGAGTCGAGTCGAGTTTTGGCCCTTATCGAGCTCGGCTCGTTAGATAGATAGCGAGCTCGAGCTCGAGTCGAGCTCGACAGTCGAGCTCGAACTCGAGCTCGTGTCACTCTTAACGAGCTCGAGCCGGCTCGCCAGCCATGAGCGGGAATTTTTAAATTTAGGCGGAATTTTTCAAAAAATTTAAAATTAGGCGGGATTTTTAAATTTTAAGCGGGATTTTTAAAACTTAAACAAAATTTTTATAAAAATATGAAATATTTAACTTTTAAATAAAATTTAGGTGATTATTATTATAATTTTTTAATATTTAAATTTAATAAATAAAATAAAATTATTTTAAAAAATATTAATATTTAATCGAAATCGGTTGCATCGTATTTACATATATACCAAAGAAAAAATTTTGAAGCAGTGCCTCGTACTGCCTCGAGGTGTTACGCTCTAATGCGTACACCTAGTGCGAAAAAATCGTAGGCTTCACTGGATGGTTCGAGGCGTAAGCCCCGATACGCATGACTTCCGCCTCGACTTGAAGCGCGACTGAATGCAGACGCCTCGTCCGCTTTTTTCTCCCTCGATCCTCGAACCGACACCGCCAACCCCACGAATGTACGAACTTTCTAAGCTCAGATTCTCGCTTCCGTTGTGTGCGGCGGACCGGAAAACTGCATATACACGCCTTTATTGCACGTGGTGGGATGGGACCCCGGTCCGACGCCTACGACGAGGCAGAAATCACCTAAACTCTACTTCGGCGTTCGTGACGCACCGAAAAATCGCCTATACACGCCTTTATTGCGCGTGGTGGGATGGGACCCCGGTGCGGCACCTACGGCGAGGCGGGGTCACTTATAAGTACCCCCGAGCGGGGGGAAAGCAAATTGTCACTTATAAGTACCCCCGAGCAGGGCGAAAGCAAACTATGTCTCTTAAACAGGTATCGTCAAAGACCCCATACACGCCTTTATTGCGCGTGGTGGGAGGAACAAAAAATCACGGCCGCGGTGTCCTCGTTCGAGGACACCTACCATACACGCCTTTATTGTGCGTGGTGGGAAAGGCTCA